GAAAACGCTGTGCTTTCATCAAGTAGCAAAGTGCTTTTTATAAATACTTTATCAGAATAAACAACCCAAGCACACCGTTTAGTATCTGGACAATCATCCACTTTACAATGCCGGAAATAATCAGGATATCTTTCGAGTTACTTAAACAAGAAAATTAATTTCCATAACTTGAACCTTTATTTCATTGTAAGGTCTTAAAGGGTTTCACATTTTCTTCTGGTTCTCTGGATTTCCTCCACTCACAATAATATAATAAACTCAGTCCTAAATTCCAATTCGATCACGGAATGAGGGCCGCAGGTTTGTTAACCACAAGTGCCACCCTCGTACAACAAGATCCACAATACGTGAGTGTCATATATTCATAGATTATAAAAAGGTTGAATCGTTTTTTCTTTAGACATAACACATACTGACATATTTTTTGAGTTTACGGCGGTCGCCCTTTAATAGAAATCTATACTAATATAAAGTTGAATCCCGTGGATAGCCTAGCTTGGGATCAATTAGTTAAGATGGTTAACCAATTAGTTAGAGCAACTGTTACTATAATATTAAATATCTAATAGTCCAAGTCAAGGTGTTCCTGAATCATTGGCCTCAAAGCTTAAATCCCACTCAGTGTATCTCAGTTTAGCTCAGTGTTTCCTTGGAGGTAAAATCGTATCGCTTCAAGTTCTATATCATCGAGGATATCTGGACAAATCTTCTTACGAGGAGTGATATGAGGTAAGAAAAAAGGCTTTTTTCGTACAAATAACAATTGAAATAGAATAGCAGTTCCATACAAGTCTACTGAACGATTTTATTACAAAAAAATGATTCCGTCATAAATATCGAATTTATGCACACAGATATATATTTACAGACAAAAACCGAGATTGGGCTGCCTGTGCTATTACAGTTTGTTAGGCCTCTCCTGTGCTTCGAGTGTTTTTTCAAAGTTTTAAGGTTTTCCTCCCGCCGCAAAACCTACCACTAGAATATTCTAATTCAATCTATGAGTTAGTCGTGCCCTTGTTTTTCATTTTTATTCGTATCAAGTTAATAAATTCCTACTTGATAATTTAGTATCTTGCTAATTTCATTTGACGACGTTATCGCAATTAGGTGTATCCTTAATTTATTATCTAGGAATTCAGTGTGTATCTATATATATATATATTTAATGGAGGCGAACGTTTTCTCTCTAATTGTTTCTTGCCTTTAGTTAAGTTTCATTCGCCATAAGTGTTTAAGAACCTTTGTCGAGCCAAAACGTTTCATTCGCCATAAGTGTTTAAGAACCTTTGTCGAGAAAATACACACACTTCAGTCAATCTCTTGTGCCTTTTTGTAACCACTTGCTTGCATTACCTCAATGGCACTTGAACACTTTAAAAACTGACAGTACTCTTCATAGATACATCCAGAGTTACAATCAAGGGCATAATGTTGCCACACACAGAAACAGACACATAATGGCTTTGTGAACAGTAGGAATACGAGGGGAGGAGGGGTGGGGGCGGGATGACATACGTTTTCTCCTTCAATGGATAAGCCGGCTTTTCCCAAAAAAATTTTTATGACACCGAAAACGTTTGAATGTCCGATGTCCCTTCATCTTTAAGTAGATCGAAAAAATAATTACGTAATAATTATAAACTTATTCTTTTGCACAAAGAATATATTTTCTTTTTTGATCGCTGCTTCTTCATCGTGTCTTGGACATGTGACATGTTGTTCGATCTCTGGGCTATTAACCGTGCCCTTACTATGATCAGCCTAGAGTATGTTTCAGGGTATCGATAGAATTTGAAGGCTGCTACCTCTGATTCTCCAGTTTCTAATTCTCTGTTGCTCAGCTAGGGTCAGCCTTGTATAAAGTATTCATGCGTTCCAGTGAAGGTCAGGGGAATTTGAAAGTGTTCTGTTAATTACATGCTTTGTTGAAGTCGTGCATTCGTTTTTTTTAAATACCTTTTGGTGATCGATTGTGAAAAAAAAAAAAGAAAAAAAAAAGAAAAAAAGAAAAAACATTA